AAAGATATTGCTGGGCCTGCCGCATCTCTCTCTTGAACCCTTTGTTTCATTTTCCAGGTGTTGGTCACTCACCTCTGGAATCCATAGCACTGGCGGGGCTGGCTTGGCAAGTCTCTCCTTCACGGGCCTGGGTCCCTTCAGCCCATTACCCCACCTCCATCCCTCAGACTCTTAAAAGCTGGTATTCTATCACTCCTGATCCAAGTCACAGCTGGACAAGGAGATGTGAGCTCGCCATCTCTGAGGCAAAAGTGACTGAGAAATCAGCCAACCACTCCCCACCACCGTGGAGGCAAAGGTTCCAAAAGTGTGGCATTTTCCTCTCTTGGCTACTAGGCTTGTAGAAGTTGGTGTCAGATGAGAAGCTGACCCTTGAGATTCATTCATACCTTGGGATGCTCAGAGCTTTTAAACTGTTTCACGCCCGTGAAGAAGTCAGGCAAATAGGAAGCGACATTCTTTCTCATCTTCTCTTGACAAAAATCCACCTTGGCTCCCGTTCCTGCTGTCCAAATCCACAAGCATTTCCTGCTGCAGCAGTGTATGTATGCTCCACAATGAAAAAAGCAGGCACGTCTTTCCAGGCTAAGGGGTTTGGAGGCTTCCTGAGTGAGATCTACCTCTCAGCTGGGCAGCAGTGATGGCAGGGAGCAGAGAAGCTCTGCTAGCTCCAGCAGCAAGCGCGGGGGAAGCCTATAGCCTAGCGGGCTCCAGAGTGGGAACAGTCTGCAGGGCACAGACAAGGCCATACACAGAGATCGTAAAACAAAATTTATCTTTAATTTGTAAGTGTCAACAGCAGTACAAAAGATGGAGTGATGACGACTAGATTAAGGGTAGAGAGGACAGTCTTGAGGTAAATGAGCATAAATAGGCAGTTCTTATAGACACTCCCCTGAGGGGCATAGGCCCCATCATGGCATATACATTATCACCCAAAGATGGCATGTCTAACATATCAGGAAAGCACCTTGTGCAAAAAGGAAAAAAAAAAAAAAAGTAGCTAAGGTGCCAACATATACCAGGATAGATAAAGACAGTGTCTTTCAATTTTGTCTTTTTCCCCTAATTATGAGGCAGAAGAGGGGAAGACTTTGAAAAGTACCACTGAAAGATTACTCAATGTTGAGTTTTATCTCACATCAATACTGCACAACAAAATCCAAGAAGGTTGTGTATGCAACAAAGCTAAGAACAATGATTCATTCCTTTAAGTTTGAAGAGATTCTTTTTTTTTTTTCCATTTCTTTAATCCTTAGCAAACTTTTTTTTTCCCATTATCAAGAGGAGAATGTGAGAAAGATGTGATGGCAACCCTTAAGGTCATTTAAAAACTTTACACTGGACTGTACAAGATTTTTTTTTTTGATAAACTATTTACATTTTCAGACTTTCAAACATATTCAAAGCAGCAATAGACACTAGTTTTTATGGTTTTTGTTTTTTCTAATTGCCCAAATAGTTACCAGCCATGGGCCAAATAGGTACCTGCGTTATACATAGAATTTCTACAAAGAAAATCTGCAGATAAAGTTTGCTCGGGGGTGTATTCAATGCCCTTAGTGTCTCGAGGGCCACACCCACAGTGTTGCTAGACGAACCAAAGCACAGTACCTTGACAACAGAGATGCAGTTGTCTCAACAGCCCTACACAAACTTTATACTTTGAAACAGCAGCCAGCATGTCAGTCCAGCATGTCAGTGAATTGTGCTGATTAAATTAACATAGAATACAATCTCACAATATACATCACAAACAAATTACAATGTCGGGAAATAAAAGAGTTACAGTAAGATAAGTTATGTAGTAACAGCTTATAAGCTTGTCTAAGGTAATAAAAATTTTACATGGCAAATACAATAATGAATGAACATAAATGCTAAGCATTCTAATTTGCTACAAGCCGGAGAAGGGTACAATAAAGACTGCACTTTTAGAAAAGCAAAAACACATATGACAAAGGAAGACAAACGGAGAATGCACATGAGCAGATCTGCAATGTGCAGCATACAAAACAGTTAAATATTTGCACATTCCCCATACTCCAAGAGCACCAGCACTGAGGCCTCACTTTATGCTTGTGGTTCTTCAGGAATAAGAAACTACTGAGCAAGATATGTCACTGAGTTGCCTTCAAGCTTTCATATTGCCACGAACACTAATTGGAAGAGTATCTGCACTGTTACCTGTCTGCCCCCTCCCCCACCCACCTCCAGCCTCACCCCAAAGGTACCAGCATTTTGAATACTTGTTCATGAGCTTTAGGCAAACAATCTGTCCTCAAAGGAAAAGATAAGATGGGATGAAAAGGAAATGTATTTGCATATCATCAATATTTTCAACAATATTAGCAGAGGGTTACGCTCAATAGCATATGGCATCAGAAACATAACATAATCGGCAGGAATAGCAGATAGAAGTTGTTTATTAAGGAAGAAAACATGTCAGGGGGCAGATGACTTAAGGAAATGATGCGAGTGCTTTTGTAAAAGAACAAATGAGGTCATACAATATTATTATACTTTGAGAAGTGAGCTTAAGTGCCAACTCAGTCCTTAGACAAACGTGTACAAAAACAGGCAAGGCTACAGCAAACATTTTGTCATTTTCTCATTAAAAAGGAAGACCTGGTAATAATTTCAATACATTCCTCCAGCTGCATTCTTTGCAGTTGTTGGCACTTGGTACAAGACTTCTCAGATGATTTAAAACTACTAAGTGATTCATTTTCCTTTCCCTAATGAGTAGGTAAAGGTCACCTTACTGCAAAATTAGTAAATTGATATAAGCAGCCTCAGCTGTGGTGTTTAAGTGACCAGGCTGCCTTTCTACTAGGGATAGATGGATTTCCTTGAAACAATCCCTGCTTTTAGCTAGTGCCTGTGCTCTTGGCTTGGGAGGGTGCGCTCTGAAGCAGCAGCCTGGCTTCGTAAGGAAAAGAAAGAAGCCTTTAATTTCAGCCCTAGAGTGATCACACCCTTTTCAAACACCCAGGCTTCAGTGGGGCTAACGTTCAGGGGAGGCCAGAATTTGACAAGCTCAATAGCACTGTGAGCCCACATCTGAATTTAGAACTTGGTCTGGGAGTTGGTATCAGGACCCTGGCAAATCGAAATAAGCCATGAGGACAAGGCTGCGGAGTATCAAATACCAAATGAAGCAAACTGATGTGCTCCTAAAAGGTTGATCTGGATACATATGAAAACAACAAAGCTTTCGTACCTTCCTGGAAAAGATACTGCATCACATCTGCCAATGAAATAGAGAAATTGCCTGCCTGGCTGCTCCTGTCCACAGACTGATCTTTTATTTCTCTCTCCTTTTCTTTTCCTTTCTTTCCTTTCCTTTTCTTTCTTTCCTTTTCTTCCTTCCTTCCTTTCTTTCTTTCTTCTTTTCATTCTTTTCCTTCCTTCTTTTTTCCTTCCTTCCTTCCTTCCTTCCTTCCTATTCCTTATGGTCCTTCTTTTTTTTTTTTTTTAGGATAGGACTGTCTGCCATGTCCCTATTCTAAGTGACATGGAAAATCCTAATCCTGCATGTTCTTTAACAAAATGGATATAATTTTATCTTTGACTTGAAGATACTATGAAATAAAAAACACTGGAAAAAGTTGATTAACATTTTTTAATCGACTTAGCATGCTGGGAGTTTTATTAATGACCAATCTCAGAAGCAGATTTTTGCCTTTATAATGGCGTTCATTCTTCTTGCTATTAAATGGTCACAGAATTACCTTTAACAGTTTATTGGGATTCACAGAGTAAATTGACTCGGCGGTATGGCAAATTTGGTATGTTCAATTCATCAATTTTCTATTAAGAAAAAAAGGCAAAGCCTGAGTCTGTGGACAGTAGGTTCTAAGATGCATGAGAACCCGAGTGAGGGGTTTTATCGCCCCAGCTGCAGGTGGAACACTGCTCTCTCACCGTGCTGATAATTCACTATCCCCATGAGGTACAGTGACTTGTCAACTTCTAGTCTGGACCAACATATATGGATAGAGAACAAAAAGGAAATACATAACTTATATCTCACTAAGTATTCATGAACCAAAAATAAATTCTATTTCTATGTTATATTTACACAATTAGAAAAATCTAAAATGAGATGGTAAAGTCACAAAAACTTTGTTTAAGCCCCACTGAAAATAAAATGAAGTGATCCCGATGATTGTCATTCATAATTTCCAAGGATATTTAGAGCCAAACTTGGCTAATAAATAGAATAAACTGCTTATGCACAGAATTTAGATTCAAATACAGCATCACTGTTTTACCCAATAAAAGAGACGTTTACAATCAGATCATTCCTGAATAGCCTTTCATTTTTAAGAACATGGCTAGAAGTAACTGAACCCCAGTACTGAGGCAGAGCTGGGGCTAAAACAAAGTGTTCATACACACATGTATTTTGCATAAATAAATGAAATAACAAGACATAAAAATGACTCAAATCCGGCAACTGTGAGGCAAGCCCACACGAGTCGAAACAGATGACTTTTGTTCATGTAGTTTTCGTACAACAGTTTCACATTAGTCAGAAGTGATAAAAAATACCATTTATATCCAGTGCTTATAACACTTACGAAACAACATCTGTGAGTGTGTGTGTTTTTTGTTGGTTTATTTTTTGTTGTTTTGTTTTGTTTTGTTTTGTTTTACTACAAGCAAAATCAAGTTTCAGTCCTAAAGAACAGTTCTTTGTTCTCCACCAGCCCAGAATATTATTTTGGCATGGTCATAAAACAAACAAAATTAACCTACTATTCTAAATGTTTGCCTTTGTGCAAAATTAATTACATACAATACAATGCTAGCCAAACAGCATTTACCTATGCAACAAATAAAAAAAGAAGTGGGACAGGGCAGAAGCAAAAGTGAAAGAAAATAAGAAAAAACATGAGAATGAACTGAGGAAGAGAGGTATATATTCAAAAGAAATCAGTAAGACAATAATAAATACTCATTTTTTTAAGAACAAAAATGACCTCTTCCTCATTTGAAATAAATGTACAAAAACGAAGTTTCAATCCCCAACCAATATTAAGAAAAAAAAAACATTCCTATCAGTACCTTAATCAGCTGATAGAGAGCACTCCCAGCTAGTGATATAGCCAGTAATTTCTTGTCTGGATTTATCTATCGCTATTAGGTATGTCCTTGAGCACTCATTAAATAAATATGAAGGTACACTATTTTCTTCCAAGTGACAAAATGGCTCAAGAAATCTGATGGGGCCATTCCTATGTCCTGGTGATCAAAATCTGGGTTGTCCTATGAGGTGAACTGTCCCATTCGCTGACATTCTCCCACTGAACCACTCTGGGTGAGGGTCCCCACATAGGTGATCAGTCCTGTTTTCAGGAAGGTCAGAATGGCATGGCCAAGTTCCCTGTGGCTAGGAGATGGGAAGTGAAACCTCACTGCCTCCTTGCCCATCAGCACATCTCCAGAAAACCCTTGTGCGACAAGTATAGTCAGTCTCGTTCACACATAGGCCTGCCCCACCACGGCCACAGATAGAGGGAGTCAGCCAGAGGGCCTCGGCTGCCGCCTCAGGAGTGATCTGTTCCCCAGAGTTAACAGTAGGAACATCCCATATAGGGAATGTATTTTCCCTCCTTCTCCTTCCCTATGGTTTTCTTTCATTCTCTGGACGTATCATGACTATCTGCCTCTATCTTTGCTTTGAGGCTGTCAGGTGGCTCCTTGTATCCTGGGGATTTTACAGAGAATCCCCTAGGTATGCCAGATGGGACAAGGCAACTCACTGTAAAGGTGCCAGCCCATGACAGCATCATAGTAGCCTCCTACATGGCCTGCAGCCTTGGGCTCTAGGTTTGGCTATGGAACTCTCTTGCCCGGCAGTCACCACTGTTGACCCTTGCTGCTGAATGGCACTCAGGGGAAATGCCACTGAGGCAGCTCCGACCACTTGTTGCTGAGCTGACTTAGGGGGAAATTCTGGCAAAAGATTCAAGGTCACTAAGAACCTCGGGGGCACAGCTGTTGAAGTGTAAGACTCTACACATGAATCTAAACACACAGCCCTGCAGCCAGATAGACACTCGTGTTTAAAAACAATGATATAGGTATTTAATAGAATCTTGCTTCAGAAATGCTTCCAGATGCTCTGGGGACATAAAATCACTATGTACATCTTTTGTATCTAGCAGGAGAAGGAGGTGAGAAGGGCTGAAAAGTTCTTCGGGGAAAGATGGTGAAAAATAAGAATTATTAAATTAATGCCACCAACAATTTTTTTTTTAAATAAATAGTAAGTGGACCCTTGACATTCTGGAATGAATAAATTATTTAAGAGAAAATGTGTTAAGACTGAATGTCAGGGTTAAAGGCAAAGGGATAATGGATGTAGTGAGAGGTGGTCTCAGGCAGAGAAGACCACCGAATCGGTATCTGGTGTGGTGATCGCTCTGGTGTGTGTACGTCATACGTCACCCACAGATGGCACATTGAGAGGCAAACACAATTGGGTACATGCACTGTGGCAACCTTGTTCATTCCTTACAATATCTTGTCTCCAGATTCCTGAGTACTTTACCATTTTCTGGAAAAAAAAAAAGTATGGTTTGCTATTTTATTTTAAGATGCCAAAGATTGTCTAAGACTTTGCAGTGTCTCCTTTAAGACTTTCAAAATATTAAGATTCAAAAGTGATGAGAAAGTTTGGCACATTCAAAGTTTAACTCTACACATGGAAAAATGGAATTCCGAGGCCTTTTGAATATGCTCTACATGCAGCTGCACACGCCGTAGACTGGTTCTGTTTCACAATATGAAATCCTCAGTTGTTTTCTAAAATAATTCAGAATAAAAACACATTCACAACCTGTAGGCCGGCACAGCATACCTGAGTGAGAATGTTTAACCCCATCTAAAACAGTAACTTAAACCTTTATCAACATCCAAAAGAAAAAAAAAATAGTAAGACAAAAATATAAGACTTGTAAGACAGCTATGGGTTGAGATAAGTTTTCAAGTCCTGGTGTCTCATATTTAATATGTCTTCACCTAAATTAAAAAAACAACAACAACAACAATAACAATAACGACAAAAAACTCAAGTTCATGAAAAATCAGGGAAAACTTAATCTGTCTCACACTTTACGAAACAATTAAGACCATTCTGCTGATGTCATTGTGGAGCCACAAATGCATGCGGGCTCTTTAAGAACTTTTTGTTGGGGGAGGGGAGGTGAAATGTCAGAGTATTTTAATTCAGCAAATAAACACTCCTCAGTTGGCACTGACAGCTTCTGGGGCTTCGTTTTCACTGCTATAGTCTGATTTGGGATCATCTTCATAGTCGTCATACATTTCTATTTCATCCTCTCCATTAATCATTTCATTTCCAGCTAGGTTTCCGCCGTCTGTCTTCATACCATAAGTGCTCTGGATGACCGGGAGGCTGGGCTCTGGGCTGGCGGAGGTGCTAGAGCAGTCAGATGTCATCTGAGGTGATGGTGTGGTAGTTGCCATAGTAATAGCACCAGGATACACAACACCTGTTCCTGTGGTGATTGGAATCTGAGGCTGTTGCCTGTATAGATTCAAAAAATAAAATAAAACAGGGGGAAATATCTCTATATATGTTCTGTGTGGCAATTGGAATCCACCTCCCACAGAATCCAAAAGGGGGCCCTGTTTGACATTCTAAGCAAATGACAAAATGTGACAAAGATGTTCCCTGGAAGAGTCCTGCAAATCTCCCTGATACTATGGTTGAGGGTTAAGTAATACAATGGAGTGTAATTTATGATAGTTTTGCAACATAAAAACGGGGTTCTTATGACATCGTAAATATGGCAAAACTTGGATAACACCAGGTATTTGGAACAACATTGCAGTTAATTCCACAAAGTTACGTGTGAGATCATTTTTGAAGATTCTCGCAGAACACTAAAAAATAGACTGGTAACATGAGACATATTATGACTGTTAAGCAGACTTGTGTCTTCACCTTGGTTCAAGAACTGTAGAGAGGAGAGATCAAGATGAGAAAGGATCTGAAAGCATACATTTAGTATCCATGCAAATATCTATTTATTTCCATGGCAGGACTTGTAGAGAAGTTCCTTCAAGGACCTTCTATTTTCCTGCTTAAGAAAGGATCATCTTGTATGTCATTACTCCCAAGGCACTAGGCTGGAGGAGTCGGGAGTGAAAAGCAGTGAGTTCTCTGCAACTTAACAGAACGACACACACTGACTTATCCTAGATCCTAGCAGGTGCCAAGGCCTGGTCACACCAGATTGTTCCATCATGCTACTCTAGTTCAAATAAACTTACCAGACCCTTTATGAAGGTCAGTCTTTCCTTCTGCAAGGAGACATGGCTATCTGTCTCTCAATTACCCTTGAGTCATTAAAACTAGTTAAAGAATTAAATACCTAGCTAGGAGACTACGACTGAAACAATATTCTGATAAATGCAATATGTGCCAAGTTTTCTCAATCTTTATGGACAGTAATTATAATTTAAATTCATTTCAAAATATCATTGTAACCATACTTTCTGAGCCTAAGTTTCCATACATTTATAAAAGCTGGGGCCAGGAGTCTTGGAAGATCCTTTCAACTTCTAATACTGATGGCTCCAGGTCAGTCTATCACTTGAATAATTCTTATTGACCCTTTACATTAACATTGAAACTTTTTATCCACTTCAGTCCAAAAGAGAAATACCCTGAATCTATGAAGAAGTAGTTTAGTTACTAGCTATTCTTGGACATGTCCAGAAGCAGCATAATTTTCTCAAAAAGGCCTGCATGCCTTCTATCATAGTAGAAGGAAAAATAGTAAAAATGGGGCCTAGAATCGCGCTGAGAGATAGCTGATAATGCTATTTTTAATAACTTCTTTCAATCATTGGGAGGCACAATAATAATCCCTTAACCTTTGACTAACATAATAAATAAAATATTTTCATATAATTACCTCATTTGATCAACATGGCAACCCAATGAAGTATTATTATGCCCAGTTTTCAGATGAAGAAAGTAAGACCTTAAGGCCCTGGATTTAATAACCAGCAGAGCTAGAATTTAAACCTAGGTCACCTGACTTGAATTCCATCACTATTTCTTTTATAGATATTCAATATACAGATACACTATGCTCCTGTATCTCATAAAAATCCCTGATTCCTACAGGTTCTATTGTTACCCAATTGACACTAGGCACCTGATATCGATCCATTTTCTATGATGCTCATGATGATGTTTTGAGTGCCTGAAGGAAGAAGAGAATAGAGGAATCTAAATCTATGTATAGAAACATCTTATAAAATACTAGTTTCCTTCTTGTAGATCAAATTCTAAAAACAGTATACTTCTGCTTCCTAAGTTTTGGGCAAATTAACACAAATTAAATTTCATGCTAACTTGCCCAAGGCAGTGAACACTTCATTAAATATTTTACTGGATTTGGATAATTGCAATAAAAATATTTTTGCCTTAATCACATCACGAATGTAGAGTAAAATCTTTTGCTATAACATTAACTAACCCATTTTACAGATTTCCCAATTTGGTCAGCTAACCTATAATATAAATTCTATATAATAAACAAGCTATCAAATGGTGCACTTTATTTTCAAAACAGATTTTTTTTTTTCACAAAGAATAGATGGTCATTTTTTTGCAGTATTTTTAAATAAAAAAAATCTATATGTATAGATCTATTAAATATATTTAAATTGAGCTCCTATTCTGTGCTGGGAAGAATGATTAGATGCTTTCACATTAAATTTCACTTTAAATTGGCCTCTGGTGCTGTTCAGCCATCATAGTGCACTTTTTTCCTAGTCCACTCCGTCTACTCTGCTAGACAGTTACTTCATACCTTCTCAGCTCTCCTCAAATGTCCAACTTCTCCTCCCCCATCGTCACTCACAGTTGATGACCTGGCTTTCCATTTTGCGAAGAAATTTAAAGTAATCAGAAGAAACTTTTCACAAGCTCCTAACATCATATTTCATATTTATCCTCTGTCTCTGTCTGTGCTCCTAGTTCTCTACCTGCCTTCCTGTATTTTGAATCAATTCATAATCCAATCGTAAGACCAACCGCTTTGCTTGTGCACTAATCTACCTGCTCTTGCTTACTAAGGATCTCTTTCCAGCAACCGTCTCTCCCACCTGCATTATCAATTTTCCCTCTTTCCTTCCTATTAGTACATAAACATGCCATAATCTCTCCTACTTTAAAATAAAAAACAACTAAGACTCTTGATTCATATCCCTTTCCAGCTACTCCTCTATTTCTCTGACCTCCTTTAAAGCAAAACTCTTTCAAAGATTGTGTATATTCACTCTCTCCATTTCTTCTACTCGATTATTTCTTAAATCTACTTTAATCACTCCCAACACTCCACTGAAACAGAGCTTGAAAAGGTCACAGCACCAATGATCACATTGTTAAATTCAAAAGTCTATTCTTGGTCCTCACCTTACTTGACCTAAGCCATGAGCATCATTTGATACAGTGATCGCTCTTCTCCTTGCTGAAACACTATTCACTTGTCTTCCAATATACCACGCTCTCCTAGTCTTCTTCCTATCTTATTAGCTGCTCCTTCTAAGTCCCTTTGATGCATCCTCCTCTCTTCCCAACAGCTAAATACTGAAGTACCCAAGGACTCAGTCCTTGAACCCTTTTTTCTCTTTCTAAATTCATTCTCTTGGTGATCTTGTCCAATTCGGTAGCTTCAAATATTATCTATGTGCTGACAACTCTTAAATTTATATCTCCACTAAGTACTACATTCCTAAATTTCATATATATATATAAATCTCTTATTTGATTGGCATGTCAAAATACCATCTCAACCTTACAGATGCAAAACCGAACTCCTGATTATTCTCCCATATACCTGCTCCACTCCTGGCCTTTTGATCTTAGTAAATGATTTTTTCAGCTTTCTGGTTGCTCAGGCCAATTCTTGGTAATTGTATTTCTCTCAAACCCTATATCCAATTCATCAGCAAATTCCATTGGTCTACTCTCAGTAACACACCCAGAATCTATTTCTTACTATCTCTACCCCTACAACCCTGGTCCAAGCCCCCACCAACTCTAATCTGGTTTATCGTAAGAGCCCACCTCCTTCTTTCAGGCCATGGCCCCTTGAGACAATACTCGATGCAGTGGACAGAGTGATGTTTTTAAAACTTAAGTCAGATCTGCTAATAACCCTTCGATGTCTTTCCATCTCACTCAGAGTCAAATTAAAAGTCTTCCCAATGGCCAAAAAAGTCCTTTCACTACTTGACTCTCCATTATCACTCTGACAGCGATTACTCTTTCACCTGTTCACTCGGCTCCTATCACTGTGACCTCACTATTTTCGAACAAGCCAATCACATCCTTTCTTCGAGCCCTTTGCAGCTGCTGTTGTTTGCCTAGTTCTCTCAGATGTTTGTACGGCTTGCTCCCTCACCTCCTCAGGTTTTTGTCAACATTTTATCTTCTCAGTGAGGTTCTGTATAGCCGCTCTGTTTAAAATTGCACTCCATCCTCGGAAATTCCCTTTCTCTTTTCCTACTTTACTTTGTTCTAAGGTTCTTATTACTATTTGATATTTATTTATTCACTTATTGATTGACTGTCTGACTTCCCCCATTAGAATGTAAGCTTCATGAGGACAGAAATTTTCAATGATATAACTTGAGAGCTTACACATTGCCTGGAACATAGGAGACACTCAATAAAAATCTGTTGAATACATGGAATGAATGAATGAAAGGACGAATGAACAAATAAACTAGTGAATAAGAGAGAAAACAAATGAAAAAATTTGGTAACCTATTCTAGAAAAAAAAAAACATGCAATGAGATTGGATTTATGGGATAGAAGGTGGTGAAGGAGGGATGCGAATGTAACCATCTTTCGATGCTTGAACAATTGTGTTCATAAATAAGAAAGAGATTTCTTCTGGAAGAAACTAAAGAAGAGAATTAGAACCGATCTACGAAGGAGCAAAAAGGCAGAGTAAGGCTCAGTGAAGAGAAGAGAACTTTCTAGCATTAGGAGATATTCCACAAAGAAAGTAGCTCCCTTGGGAAGTGGTAAGCTCTCCAGCCCAAAAGAGTTTGAGCGGACTTAGACAGGACCCCTCTAATGGCTGGCTGCTTGAAGTATATGACTTCTGAGGCCCCTTCTAAGTAACCACTGATTCTATGAATGTGAAATCATAAGCTGTCGCAATGGTCTTCCTATCCCATTGTCATTATCAGTATATAAAGAGACTAAAGAAATTAAATGAGCAAAGCTAATTATAGTTGAAGACACCTAGCTTTCAAGGTTTTCCAAAATATTGCTCTACCCTAGCTATCTCACTTTTCTTTAGTGCCAGGGAAATTCCTAGGCTAGCCTCCTTCTTTATTATTGAACATTTCCATATTTCCACCAATGTGTTAATGTTCTTTTTTACACTAAAATAGAAATATTTATCCCTCTCTTCTATCAGCCTGACTGTACCCATGCCTCAAATCTCCTTCCTCAAGGATGATCTATGGTTGGCCCTAATGAGTTTTACTTGCTCTTTCTATAAAAGTCAAATTCATACTTCATTATACATCATATGCAGCACTATGCAATGTATTCTGTGTTCGTGTGTGTCTAACAAACAACTATTTGCTAATCTATTCATGTATGTGTCTGGCTTCTTTGACTATAGCATTCTCTGAAAGCTCACTGTGTACAGAATTAATGCCTCATGCACTGTATCAATTTAGTACAGTGCTGGCCACAGAGCTGGTTTCAATTGGCCTTTACCAATTGACTGACTAATCAATTAACAAAATGGAAAATCCAGCCAGCGTGCTCAAGCTTTTTCTATTGGAAATTACTTTCCTGAAAAGCATTTTTCCTTCCTTTACAGATCAATTGCAAAGTCAAAATTCAAACACTGCAGATTTATGAACAGGAATAGCTGGTAGGTATTGGGCTTTACGAATAATGAATGTGCACATCTAAACAAAAGTTGCAGATGTTTGTGAAAGTATACACATGCAACTTATATGAGCAGAGATGGCTGAGAATCCTCCCTCCCAGCCCAAGTAAAGAATATAAGACGACCCTGATAGTGTCCAGCATAGTTGCATGGTTTCCAAATTACAAGAATATTTCTGGAGTACAGCCTAGCTTTGCCAATTGCAAAGGAACTACATATTTATTTTGGCAAAGCTCTCTTGTTTGCTGATTCTTCAGGCCTTTACATCATCTGTAAATGAAGGCAATGAAGTCTGTTTCATTAGGAGATAAGCCTATATGTCACACATCTCTTTAGTTAATGTTGCACTAAGGAATGGAAATAATAGCAATCTTTTTACAGTACTTATTAGAGATTCTAATCTAGCTTTCTCTACAGTAGGACAATACTGAAAGTAGTATAGCTAGTTTATGCTAATCAATTATATTTATAAGTATCTTATAGGTTTGATTCGACCTCTTTAGAATTAAGATCAAAAAGGTAAATGTTCAAATCACTTATAGCATAAGGCAATAAAATATAATTCTTTATGATATGAAAAGGTGCTTTGAACATGGCATTATTTTTCTAGAATAATAATATTTACTCAAATCTGAGGCTTACTATCTTCCAGAGACTGTTCTAAGCACTTTAGATACATTGTTATTCAATTTTAAGAAGAGTCCAATGTTATGGGTATTATTATTATCCTCATTCCATATAAGAGGAAACTGAGATACGGAGAGCTTAAATAAGTTTTGCAAGGGCAAGTAGAGAGCTCACAGACATAAAGATTGCTATCCTTTAGTTCTTGGAACAAGGAAGAAGCAGATCTAGTATTTGAGCTAGAACAGTCTGGCTCCAGAATTGATTGATGTTCTTACCCACTACAGTAAACAGCCTCTCTAAACAATTTGTAGGCTCTAATTGAGAGGTATGTGTAATGGTGAAAAGGACACATGATTCACATTCTCATAAGTCTGATTTAAATCTCAACCCTGAAACTTACTAGCTGTGTGAACTTGGGCAAATTTAACATCTCTGAACAGTGTTTTTCAACCTCGTTATAAGAATGATACTGCTTATATTAAAAATTTCTTCTATTTGTCATAATCTGTATAATTCACTCCACACAGTATATAATACATGGTATTTAATAATTTACCATTATTATTTTAAAAATCGCCCCAAATGTAATATAATAGCTGCATAATACTCTATTAGTTCTCAGGTAAATTACTGAGTGAGCTTTAAATACATGGAAGTACATTTAGCTATAGTTCTTTGGAAAAAGACAATGTTATAGCTATGTGTACTCTAATGAATATCATTTCAACATTAATAGCACTCTTATCAGAATTATTATAAAATTCTGATACTTAACCTGCTATTCAAGGGGTTAAATCCATGGTAAGAGCTAACTTCACTACATATTATCGATAAACTCATTTCATAACAGCTAAGCAAAAAAATAATAATCTAACTCACTGATTATTATTTGTATTGTCAGTAAAATGCATAACAATGTTGGGCAATATATGTAATTTTATTGGCTTGAAAGCTATGCATGTCTTTTCAAAATCAGCTATAAATATTGATCTTAACCCCCATTCCCTCAAGAAGTCAATAGCAGTCTTTGAATTTCTTGTTTGTTTTTCCCTCTTGTAATAACTTCACATCTAATGAAGATCAATTTCCAAAGATGAACCCCAGGGAGTTAATAATCTATCAAATACAACTGCTTAATAGAGAATACAAAATTTTAAGTGGAAGTAATACCTGGTTTTATGCAGCAAGTATTACCAAGCTGAGCAGAATAAAGTCCTCAGCATTGAAGATCAAAAAATAAGACATCTTGGTCACTGCCTGCCCATTCCCCAGTCCTTCAGTAAAGGACCACCCCCAACCAAAAACGGGATCCTTCGTCTCTAAATTTCAAAGCTCCTTTTATACACCACTGTACACCACAACCAAAGATCTTAGTTTCTCTGGTTCTGAAAGCTCTTCGTCGAACAGCTCAGCCATACTCATGACTGTGCCAGAACAGGGCTATGAGGCTTAATCTGAGACAATGTGGTAAGGACAATTCCTTAGTCGTTTGGCATGACAGAGGCCAAGATTTGTATTTAAAGGTTTGTTCTTTCTCACCTTTTGGCAGCCACAGAACCTTTAGAAGTCTTCATTTCTTTATCTTATTTAGAGAATTATGTGATTTGTATATCTAAAACACCTATATTATATACAGTAGACACTCAACAAATGGTACATGCTATTGAGTTGTTTTAGTTTTTCATTTTACGTGTACTGTTATATGTTGAGGTTTTTTGATCTAGAGCTGTTTCAATATACCTTTGATAAAAGGAACTAAATTCAACAGAACTACTGTATCTCATTATTTTCAAATAAGTGCCAGGGAATAAAATGTACCTTTGGTAGTCTTCCAGACTATGGTGAGAGAGACCCATTATGCATCACTAGATACATGAGGACATGATTGAGAGAAGGATGGGAATCATGAAGGATCTCAAATTTAACTCTGACTCTTTGTTCAAAAGAAATTATATACGCTAACAGATAAACGTCTTTTTTGAAACATTTATTACAGTTTTAAATTTGTGTTTTGTCACATATGACTATACTACCTAAAGTGCACTATGAATTGGCATTTTTCATAAATCATCTAATTAGAATGTGAATAGACCAATTATACCACATTGTATTTTGGTATTAAAAGCATTATTTTTTAAAATGCAAACATTTATAATACAGAAGAATTTGATAATTCCATTTTGGCATGTCTTCATCCGTTAATAGATTAGAATCCTCAAATAATAAAGTGGCTTAAGCCTCTCTTTACCTCAAAAGGTTCAGCCATAGTGTAAAGAAATTCATTGATTATCTAGTATGATATAATATATAGTTTTACTATGATAGTAAATCCATTTTTAATAGTAATGATAATGATAAGAATTCACCTTTATTGATATTATACTAAGTACTATATAAAATACTTTTAAAAGCATTGCCTCATTGAATCCTCTCAACAATCATATGAGATAGGTACTATTATTTGTTTCTTTCACACGTGAGAAAACAGAAGCTTAGAGAAGTTAAATAACCAGGCAAAGAGGATGGTAGTCAGTGTTTGAACTTAACGGTCAAACTCCAAAGCCTCTGCTTCTCCCCAGAACCCTTTAGGGTATTGAGTAAATTCATGGCCCTGCTTTCTCATTGGCTTTTTTGTCTGTTTGGTTTTTGTTCTGACAGGTCTTATTCTATTAACTATTCTAAATTAATTTTATGCTTTTAAACACATCACTCTGAAACTAACTTTTTGTTCCATGAGGTTATTTTTTTAGTGTCCTTAAAAAGAAATAGCTCTTACTTCTCTTTTAAAGTATCTCTCTTCTTCTTATTTCCCTGGCATAGCACAGCTACTCAATTCCCCATCCAGTTAACAGTAAATACGGCTTCCTTTTTAGTCACTCCACTTCTCTCTCTCGAGCTCCCAATCTGATTTCAGCTGCCTCAGGCTGGTGCCTCCAGAATGGTCCTCTGGTTTGCCTGCCCCCTCCCCTCAACATACACACACCCCATGCTTCTAGGTCTGAGTGTGCTGGAACCTACAGGCATCTGCATCCCTACTTATCCTGACTACTGTGGTTACAAGGGGCCTCTTTTGAATGCAGACAGCCAGTCAGCCAAGTCGAAATTTATACCAGAAATCTATTACCTAATTTTTAAACAAAATGACATGAAATCAGACTTGGAGATATCAAAAACATGTCTAGTTTTTGATTTAAGCAAGAAAATCCACATTGTTACTGCTTTCACCACAGAATAATTTACTGCAACGGGAGTTCTGGATCTTATGCCAAAAATGAGGTCCTCTAAGCAATGTCAAGGCCAATTATCTTGTGGTAGATCCCACAACAAAAGCAGACTATTGTGATTAGAGTCAGAAGCACCACCCAGAGAAGTTGGAAAGCTTCTGGGGATGTCGTAAGGTTAGTTTTTATTTTTTCTCCCCATGTGTCTGCTTAAATAAACTACCAGAAACTTTGTGTGTGGGCATTGAACAGTTTAGATTAGTATGGGAGACAATGAAAAGGATGATCAGTTGGGAGTGGTCTGCTGCAGGTTTGTTTTGATTTGAGCAGCAGGCGTTCAGCAATGCTGTGTGCCTGTGACACTGAAAAGAGTACCACAGCCAAGCTCCTCTGTAGGTCACAACCTCCTCCCCTCTCTAATCTCCTTCCCAAACAAGCTGCCAGTAGCCATCCTGTGGTTTCTTACTGGGAAGAGGAAGCCCAGGTAGCTAAATTCCGGAGCACTTACCCCACAGTAAAGAACTGCCTCATCTCCTGTCTCCGAGACCTCATCAGTTGTTTATACTCCCCGATCCGGAGCTTTTTGCCGTCAACAATGCAGGTGCGTTTCGGCCGAGGTTTGTATTTATAGTTCGGGTACTTCTCTAAATGGATCTTGCTTAGCCGGGCCTGCTCTTCGTAATAAGGTTGTTTCTCTTGGTTGGACATAGATTTCCAGCGAGACCCTGTACATAAAAATAGGCTTATGTGCCCAAGTGGTCAAGGTAACATATTCCTGGCAAATGCAGCTGGATATACCTTCCCATGGCTTTACTCACCTGTGCTCCAAGTGGCCCCCATTACCACATATCATTGAGCCTCACAACTAGTTTTTAGACTATAGAGCAAAGAATAATTTTGTATGTAATACATTTATTATTTCTCTCAATAATTTAAAGTTGGTGTTGCATTAAGAGTATTGTTTTAAAAATCTTTGCTATTTAAAGATCATCTTCTACACCAAAGTCTTTCCCCCATCCATCCTCCTATCTCTCTCAAGAGGGTTAAAAACCTAGCGTTCCTAAGCATACTTTCAAGTATGACAAGATTCTCAGGAAAAGCTCTCTTGTTTCCAGAAATTCAAACATCTCTCTCACTTTAAGCATCTTTAGCAACGCTATTCTTCGATAAGATGTCAGCAGATGTTGCTATCCTTCTCTATATAAAATGTACTGTGTACAATTTCCCCTGGCCTAGGGTAATTAAAAAGCCTAAACTCTACTTAAGAAGTTACAGCTTTAGGACCGGAAGGTACATTTGGAATTATATATACCACTTTTCAATACTATAAACGTTCATTAAAATCTGTACCGATGAAAGTACAAAAATTTTTAATACGGTTTATACAGGAAGAAGGAGAAGTATTCACTTTTCTAATATTGTTTATAAAGAATTATCTAAACACTTGACAAAGAAGGGATGTGTTTTTTTACATGTATCAAATTGCATTTTTGTGTCTCACTGGTGAATAAAGCGGTAACAGCTGTGCTGACTGGATGTTAGCTATTCTTCAGTAGAGATTTTTCATACATAAACAAATGAAAAAGTTGTACAAATATTCTCTGTAGGCAGCAATACCCTGGTCTGCATTAATAGCACATCCATCCCTGTTCTTTCTTGATTGTGCAAAAGTTGTGCAGAAAGTCTATGCAGATAGGCTTCTCAGTGTTCCACTGGCTTCCAGTGGCTTAAAGCCCCAGTTAACAGGATTCTTGGTACTCTTGTGCTTAAAAGTTTACATTTTAATGAATACACTTACTATATTCTTAATATTTTTTTTCACAGAATGCGCACCAATAATATAGATTCCTCGCAGCTGCCAAAATGGAAACAAAGAGGTTCTGTGCCCATCTGAGAACTTACTCACACTGCTACTAAAATGACAAAAAAAAAAAAATTTTTTTTTCAAAGTTAGATATCAGACTTTAAGGACAGAGAAACATTGATTTTCTTTTGAATGGCTATTAATTAGAAAAAAATTAACATGTGCATTGCGAGCATCTTGGTTTGAAAGGTATTAAATTAGAAGGAATAATACCCCTAAGCATATCTCTGAAACTGTAAAAATAAACTTTATTGTAATGATATTTAGTATCCATCATGAAATCTAAAAGTCAAAAGGAAAAAAAAGGAGGAAATTTGTATTTTAACATTTCACCACTATTTGATCTTATGTACGGTTTAAATTTTCTTAGAGGTCACTGCCTCAAAATGTCTCAGAATCAAGTTAAATTATTTATACAGTGACAAAACATGTGTATTTGTGTACGTCCAGATCACTGATATTTACACAGGTTAAATATTTATTGCTTTTGAACAAAACATTTAAAAATGAAAACCACAATTTAAGTCTCTAATGTTTTTCGGCTTCTTAAACGGCTCCCTTTGAGATTTTGTCACATCTTGACAGCTTAAATAGAACAGTGCCTTCTGTGTTTTTTCTTTTTAAAGAGGAAACATGTTGACTGTAATGCTGCATGTTGAATAAAATATGTTCAATATGTTGAGCACAATAACTCCAAACTGTATAATCTGCACTAGGCAAGCTTTACATTAATAGAACAAGTCTTGAGTTTAATCCTGAGAAACGGGAGAATCACTCTGGCAATTTACCACAAAATGTGCCTCTCTGCCCTGTGGTCTAATGTGTTCAACTCACTGCTATGAAATTTGAACTAGTCATATCTTATTAAAGTAAATGCAGTTTTATTTTACAAGTTTTAAAGTTATCATTAGAGGTACTGCTCTACACTCCATGAACTTCACACTATTTGCGGGCTCACCCCTAGTTCTTGATGAATTCTTTCGGAGAAACATGTGAACCCCAAAATACTAAAGCAGAAAACTGTCGGGTCTGTGATTGTTTCCAGGGTTTTATAGCAACTTGTGGACTTAAGAAGACTGAATAAGAAAAGGAGATAAAACTTGTCTCTATGATTCCTGTTTAACAGTGACCTCTCAGAACTGCCAAAGTCACAGTATTAACACATACTACAAATAGTTTTGTCTCTAAAATAAGTTTTTAGTCAGTCTTGCTCTGGCATCTTGTGGATGCAATAACTCTTAAATCTAAATGCCACATTCTGGGGTAGGGGCAGCTTGCTGGGCTACATCTCACTTCTGCAAACCACAGTTTCCCATAGTTGTCAAATTATGCCCCTTCTTTCCACTTTTGGGACACTCATAGGGTAGAAGATCAGCGTTTTCTGCTCCACTCACCTAAAATTTTGCTAATGTTGGAGTTATGCATGTCGGGGAAGGCCTGAAGGATTTTCCTCCTCTCATCCTTTGCCCAAACCATGAATGCATTCATTGGTCGCTTGATGTGTGGCTCGCTGCTGGCGCGGCCGCGGGCATCCCTGTAGACTCGTGCTTCAGCCACAGTGGCACCTCCTGTTGGCCAACAATAATACTGCTGTAGTTTAGCTGCAGAGCCATTCATTGCTTTACTTCCTGTAATGTCAGGGCAGGAAGAACAAGATGGGTGCAAAGCATTATTATCTGGATACTATAATATAACTTGCCACCTGGTTCAATGTTTTCTCTAGGCACTTCATTTCTTTTTAAGTGACCTCTTGGAAGAAAAGACAGTTTCAAATGACAATTCTATAGGCCCTTCTGACAGGTCTCAAAGACACACTGGGTGGAATTAATTTTGCATGTTTTTATACACACAGTACATTTTTTTTTTATTACAATCAATTCCAGGTGATAGTAAAAACAATGATGGGCATTATTTTATGGTAAACGTCTCTGCTGTGATTCCTTCCTTCAAAAACAGGACCTTACCTATTGTTTTAGTCTCATTTACCAAAAATTGCAGCCACTTAAATGTCTCTTTC